GATACAGGTAACAAACTGATTAAGATCTTTTCTCCTGATGGCAAGTTTCTAATGAAGATAGGTGAGCAGGGCTCTTTTAGTTCTCCTATCCACTGTGTTCAGTGTGATAGATATCTTATAGTGTCAGACTACAAAGAACATTGTCTGAAAGTTTACGACAGGAATGGCAACTTTCGGTACAAGTTTGGAAAGCAGGGTGGAGGGGACGGGGACTTTAACTGTCCCTTTTGTTTGTCATTGAACAAGTCAGGACACCTGATGGTCTGTGACACAGATAATCATAGAATACAAGTATTTCAACTAAATGGAAAGTTTGTTGGTAAGTTTGGAACAGAAGGAAGTAATTTAGGAGAGTTCAAATATCCATTTTCTGTGGCATTTCAAAGTAATGGCCGAATTGTTGTGTCTGACCAAAGTAACCATCGTATGCAGATATTTGAGTGAAACGATGTCTTCTCCAACTTATGATAAGTGCCATTATTTTGTTCCTAGAGCATTAGGTTTAGCTGATGATGAAGAAAAGAAATTCAACCACAAAAGGACAAAATATTACTATGTCCGTGAATCCAATGTAGAAAAAGGTGATTAGTTTGTCAATTTTACATTGAAACTTAGGAGGAAAAAAATCAATGAAATTTGCACTCTTTTTGTAAGCAGTGCAGATGGATGAAAATACTCGCAAGCTCAAGTTAAATTTTTGACAAGTATCCGTTATCTAAAATGTTCAATATTCCAAGTTATGATTTTGAGCTAGTATACAATGTTCAATATTCCACCTTTAAAACGCCTGAATAATATTTTGCCTTTCAAAGATATAAGACATCACGACATTTGATGTTTTATTTTGCTATATTTTTTACTAGGTGATTTGACAAGCAGTCTATTATAAGGATTGTACTTGATTAGTCAGTTGATTAAATTACCAAATTTCTCAGCTTAATTAATAAGCTGATATATCCATGGTGATATTGTTTAATCAATTTTAGTAGTATGTTTGTATAGAGGTGTACAAGACCTCTGAATATACCACTGAAGTCTCAGCTAAAAATTGTAAATTAAAAACATAGGAATATACTACAATGATGCTCTTGAAGATTTCCTTTAGGGCATGAAAAAATATTTTATCTTGTATAAGAAATAAAATAGCCTGGTGTGAATAATTTAATTTG